TCGTGTCGTGTTGTGTTATATGTAGTGCCGACGTAGGACAGTTTTCCAATTTCATTGTACTACTGTACAATGTATGACTGTGCAATGACAATAAAGAGTTATCTTATCTTATCTTATCTTTCTTTACCTTCGTCTGTAGCTTCAACTTCCTCTTTGTGCTCTGGCTTCTCCTCTTCTTGTGTACTGCCACCTCCCCCTCTGGTACTCAGGGATCCCAACAAGGAAACAAACTCCAAGAAGTTTGATTCATTGGGAATCTGGCCCTCCTTTGCCTCCAGGTCTGATTTGGAACTGGTCATGGTAGCCTGACAGACAATGAGAAATATTTGTGAGTTTTTTGGGCGGTCATTTCCCAAATGGACACAGAAATACAAAGGGGCAAATCTATCAACATACCGTGTTGTGTGAGCGGCCTGAAAGCAGAACTGCATCTTTCCCGCTGTCCATGCTCAGCCCTCGGATGTGAGTCCTCCCACCAGGTCCGTAGCGACCCAGAGTTTGGGGCAGGCGCAGGAAGCCTTGTGAGTCCACGTTTGCTTCCAGAGGGTCCGTGTCATCTGGGTGGGAGTGGACGTCGATACCCGACGAGCTGTTATCATTTGTCAGCTGTGGACTAGGTGTGCTGTCAGCGGTGATTTGCAGACTAAGACGTTTCTGCTCTGGATCTGCGCACTCGAGCATGGTGGACTCAGAGCTGGTGGTTTCTCTGCATAAGTGGAACTCTTCACTTTGGCTTGTAGTCATGTGCTGTTTCGGGGTGAGGTCGTCCTCTGAGCAGATCACTTCCTCTCCCTCTTCCGAGTCCTGCTTCTCCTCCTCGGGGGAGTCGAAGGTGATGACGGGGATTTTGATGTGACTTTCTCCTGCATCCTTCTGAGCCTTGCGGGGTAGACAGAGACATGTCACTTGTACTTTCCCTCGAACGTAACAACACCTCTGACATAAATCAACCGGCATTTAACAGCCGACAAACTGAACACTATAACACACACAGAATACAAAATCTGATCTTCTGCATATATTTGGAGACTTAGAAATATGTCTACCTAACAAACACTGTCAAATTCTTTTGCACTTTGAGTTTCATACAGCAGCTAAGAACCAAACAAATGTATGAGAAAATAGTAAAGGTACACAATTTCAAAGTAGATAAAATAATAAAGAAATACAATGAAAACACAAAAAGACATTTAGATGCTGAATCAAATTTGAATAAAGGTCTGATTTCGCTGGGAAAAAATTAGCTTTTATACTGTTTACTGCTATCTTTGGTCATCTACAGCATGAACCTGAGAGCACTGAAGGAGATTGGTTTAAAACAAACCACTAAGGAAATTACTTAGACTACTAAAACTGGGTTAAGAACTGTCCAACACATTATTAAAACCTGGGAGCAAAGCCGTGAGCCACGATCTTCTGGAAAGAAATATGTTGGAAAAACATCTTCAATGATGAACAGAGATCACTTCAAAGTTTAGTGAAATCACATTGTGAAAAAAATCAACAGCAGCACTCAGGGTTAGTTTAATTGTGAAAGTAAGAGCATTTCCACACAAAGATAACTCTTTGTGGAGCATTAAAGAAACCACTTATCAGAGAGGCTAGTCAGAAAGAAAGGTTTCAGTTTGCTAGGGAGCATAGAAATGTGACCCTGACTGGGTGCATCAGGGTAAGAAGAGGTGGATGAAGTGATGATGGGGGCTGTGTTATGATCTAGGGTTGGTCAAATCCAGGTTCAGCAATGATATTTCCCCTAAAAATGTTGTCAACTGACTACCTGAAAGACCAGGATTTTCCATTAATGGATTTTTTTCTTCTTTAAAGGCAAGCTACATTGTAGCCACAGCTGCCCTGGGGCGCACTGACAGAGGCGAGGCTGCCGGACACTGGCGCCACCAGGCCCTCTGACCACCACCACCAGTAGGCAAACATGGGGTTAGTATCTTTCCCATGCAGCCAGGAGGCAGCCTGGGATCGAACCACCGACCTTCTGCTCTGCCACCTGAGCTACAGCCAATTGTGAAGGAGTGGTTCAAGGCGCATGAGACATCATTTTCACGTATATCTGAAAATCTTTTTCAGAGGCGAACACTTAATCTCTACATCTGACCTCAGTTCAGCTCTAGTGACATCTGTTATTACAGTTCTCTTCAGCTGACCAAAAATGTATTTTAACACTTGCCAAGAGAGGTTTCTACAGGTTAAAAATATTACTGGTGTTCAATGACCTGTGTGCCTGTGACATTTAAAATGATGAAGTCACCGTGATGCAACTACAGTTGGGTAGTGGAATGAGATCATTTTAACATTTTAAAAGCTATGTAAATAGGGACAACTCCAAGACACAAACATTATGTGTTTAAAAGTAACTGAGTAATTGATTCTGACCTGTGCATTCTCCAAAAGGCTCTGCTTGACGCTCTCTTCCAACTGAGCAGCAGTCTGAGGATCACAGCTCATAGTGATGATGATCTTGACAGTGTCGCTGTCGTCCAAGTGAGCTGGCACAGGTCCGGGGCCAGAGTTGTCTACCAGAACCACTTCAATCTCATCAGAACAGTATGTCTCCTCCATAGCCTACTCATAAAGAAAAATACTCGTAATAAACCCGGCCCTTCAAATTCAAATTGATCAAACATGTCTTCCTACTCTTTTATGAGGTCTACCTGTGTAGGAGGTTCTGGGATTTCAATGACATGCTCCTGGTCCTCATGGGGAGTCTCCAGTGAGTTGTTGTTGGCATCTGAGGCCTGTTTATGCCCCTCACTCTCCTCCTCACTCTCCTCCTCACTCTCATCTTCACTTCCCTTGGAAGAAGGGAAACCTTCATCGGCTAATTCTCTGTCTGCAGTCTCCTTATCCTCAGAGTCTTTTTCCTCTATTCTGTCTTGCTCTGACTCTTTCTCTGCTGTCCTTTCCTGCTCCGACTGCTCTTTGTTAATCCCTGTCAAAGATCCCTTAATGTCTATCCCTTCTTTCACAGGTTCAGTTTCAATTGTTTCTGTATCAGTTTTCTCTATCCCACCCGCAGATTCAGACTGGAGCTCCTCTTTTTCAGCTTGGGATGGGGGCCTCTGCTGGGCCTGCAGCAGGGGGGCAGCCTGATCGGGATTGGGGCTAGAGAGATCATCAGGAGATGGCTCTGGGCTTGGCTGCAAGCCTCCCTCCACAGGCCTCTCCTCTGCAGCAGTTCTGTCTTTCTCTGGAATGAAATGCAAATTCAATTTGTTGATTTTAAAGCGTAATATTAATAAAAGCCACAATAAAGCTTTAAATCCTACAGTGGAAATAGTATAATACCCATATTAGTTGGCTGCAGCAATAACACACACAATTCAAACTATTACAGTAGATATCTTCCCATTGGGGAGGAAGCTATAGATTCATCCTTCTACTATTAAAAACAAATGGCACCATTTTTGCACAATAATCTGGTGCATTGCACCCGAGGATTTGGATTTCTTTTTTTTCTTCCTTTTTCAATCAGCTGACTGGGCTCTTACTAATCACCAGTCCATTAGGTCATAACTTTACTGAAAGCAGTCAGCTGCTCTTGTTGGCCGGCTGCTAACTCTGTGATGTTTCCTTGGGAGGAAGTTGTCGGCCTGGATCGTGTAAGAAGCCATCCAATACAGTAGGGAAGAGGAACAGCTTTCTTTCAGCACAGACTGATTTTGACAACACGCTAAACAGGAAACGGGTCTGTTACAATGAACCTTTCATGAGGGTTAAATGTGGAACTGCAGTTTTAAACTGCTGCATCCTGTCTTCACAGTTTTTGCATGCTTATCTCTTAGTCATATTGTTTGTGCCATTTTTAACATCCCAAATAACCACAAGGTAGTCTATTGGCATTGCTTCAAACTTCATACTTAGTGTCAGTCTGACTAAAGTTTCACTAGGTTAAAAAAAATGAAACACTACAATTTGAGATGACTCGATCATTCCAAAACACAAAATCAATCTGCAGTTTACAAATAGTCACCATGGGGATGAATACAGTGCTATAGAAGAACCAGTCCATTTGTCATGTTTTTTTCCTTTATTAGTTAACTATCTGTATCTTAGATTAGCATTACCTTCCACGGTCTTCACCTCATCTGACTTTGAGCAGTCCTGTATGGAGGACAATTCAAAAGGTTGGGATTACATTTTAGACATAACACAGTATCCTCACACTGCCAGGTGTTAATATTTAAACCTTCTCTCACCACCCCAATCAGTCCCGGGTCAGTTTCAGTCTGTTTCACCGTCACCTGGATCACTGAACTGGGACGCTTCCGAGCCAACGTAGTCATGGCAACACTGTCAGGGACTGTGCTGCTCTTCCTAACGGCCAAAGACATGAGATGGAAACAGACACAGTTAAGTAAGAATGTGAATAATGTAGCACATTTTTTTAAATACAGTGATGTACAGGTTAGAGATACAGATGAATAAAGAACACACAAATATACTGCTTTATACATGTAAATGAATTAAAACTCAATTTTAGTCCCAATGCAGTTAAAGGAAAACTCTAAAAACTGATGTAAAGACATTTTTTTGTTTATTTTTTAAAGCTGTTTACAGACTAACCCTAATGGTAAACACATAATCACCTGCTGATTTACTACGATTGTATGAGCTGGGTCACCAAGAGGTGGAGCAGGATTCAAAAGTGCAGAGACATAAGAAACAGCAACACTTTGAAGTGCTATATTTGTGATAAGCAATACTTTAAAATTAGAGAAAAGGAACCTTTGAAGAGCATCTCAGGATTTCCGCCACAGAGAGGCCTAAGAGGTCTAAATTAAGTTCTAATAGAAATATATTACCCTCAAAAAGTCCCTTCTCAGCGGTCAGGGCTTTCTGAAAGTTCAAAAACTTGAGCTTGTGGAGCTCAAAGTGCCAAACAGTTCTAAAGGTCATACTAGATCAATTGCTAGAAAAAATATGCTTGATTATTTTAGAGGAGGTGTTTCAAACATTTTGTGCCCAAAGTCTACCAAAGGGCAAATCAAAATTTCAGCATGCATCGTATCTGCCTTAAACAGTATCTCTATCATCTAAATTCTTCTGTCTCTTTTGGACTGTACTGTACGACTGAGGAAATCCTGGAAGCCCATTTGAAGCATCTAGACTTAGCATAAAACCCCTTTGCAAGAGTGTTGCCTTTAAGTTTCTTTTGCTTTGCAATAAGCTCGACAAGCATATGTCTTTCACACAATCAAGTATCCTTTGCTGCCCCCAATTCAGGTCCAGAGTTGTTTTGATCTTTCTCTAAGAAGGGATGTTTTTCTGCCTCACAGCAGACTGTTTGGGAACTGCTTTAAAGTGTACTGCAGAAATGGCTGATTACAATTTTAAACACAACATCACACTTTGCCCTCTCATTCCCAGTTCAACAAACCAGACAGAGAGAGAGAGAGACGGAGAGGCTGGAGAGTGGTAGTCAAGTGAAATAAAAGGTGAATGAACAGAGGGAGCAGCATCCATCCATCCATCCATTCGCTTCCGCTTATCCTTTTCAGGGTCGCGGGGGGCGCTGGAGCCTATCCCAGCTGTCATAGGGCGAAAGGCGGGGTACACCCTGGACAGGTCGCCAGTCTGTCGCAGGGCTTACACATAGGGACAGACAACCATTCACACTGACATTCACTCGCACATTCAGTGGCAATTTGGATTATCCAATTAACCTATCCACACAAACTGCATGTCTTTGGATGGTGGGAGGAAGCCGGAGTACCCGGAGGGAGCAGCATTAATGGAAAATCAGAAGTAAAGCAGAAGTAAAATATGGTTTTTTTTTTATACTGGGTATGTTCTGAAATACAAATAAATATGCTCACACCTCCACTCAACCCTGCAGGAAGGTGCCAAATTGAGTGTGTGTGTGTGTGTGTGTGTGTGTGTGTGTGTGTGTGTGTGTGTGTGT